TGGGTTTGAGGCGCGAGCCCTCAGGCCTGAGGTTTGGGTCGTCAAGCGATCAGCTTGATGGGTTTCGACGCAAGAAGTTCAAACTAGGCTGCAGGGACTCTGCGCAGGAAATCAATCGGCGCAACAAGCCAAGTTTGCCGGGACGCCTTCATGAACACGCCTGGTGGCACTTTTGGAATCTTGTCAAACAAGCGGCTAGGCTGCCAGGATCCAGGCCCAGGGGCTTGTGCGCCAGGTTCCCAGGGGCTCGGGGCCCGGGGTTTGAGGGCGTGGGCCCCGGCCCACCAGGCGCTTGGGGCCCTAACCCACAAAAATTTCCTGAAAACCTCTGGTGAGAGCAAACGAAGCCCCCCTACCCTCCCCCACCCCCAGCGTTTTGGGGCTGTGAGGGAGAAAGGAAGAGGGTTTTGGGAAACGCCCCCCAAGGTTGGCGGATTTTCCCCAGTGGCTTTAATAAGACCCAAAAAAAACAATACTTTTCAAAGGGTTTTAGGGGCCAACCCAGTTGTAGGGCTCATGCTTAAACTTGCGGAGCGGCCAGGTGAGATATAATAATGGAAATTTAATAACCATCATAACCCTAATAGCAATCACAATAATATAATTTATAGTAACAACAATGATGAGAATAATCATAGTAGTAGTAATGACGGCCAGGTGAAACCCAAGAAGGCAAAGGCGCTTCAGCCTTTGGAGCTCGTCGCGGCTTGCCAGGCATCCAGGGAAGTTGGCCATATGGGTGCTTGTCAAAATTATGGTCCCTCTTTGGGTCCCTATTATAATACGGCACCTAATATTTAGGGTACCCAAATAGGGACCATAATTTTGACAACCACCCATATGCAATCATAGTTTTTGAGGGGCTTTTCGTCTGAGGGCACTTTACCATGGCTACTTTGCTCCCTTACTCTCAGGTGAACTGCTGCTGCTACCAGCACAAATCTGAATCATCTCACACTGACAAAAAATCCCGCCTCCCTTATCGTGAATGTTCAGTCCCCGCATATATATATAATATGTTTACTGCATGTGTATAAATGTATATATATATATACACAAACTACTCATCTACGCCATCACCTGATGGGCCCTGACAGCATGGAGGCCCATGCGTTGCGGGGGTCCACCCTAAACCTCCTAAACCCCCCTAAACCCCTAGACCTCCAACGTAGTAACCCCATGATGTTGCTTTCAAGAAGCCAGGCCTGGCTGGAGGCTAACCAACAGGCCGCAGAAGGCGGGATCATGTCCTGCTCCCCTTCCCTAATTTGAAACCCCCCACCCCCTGATATTAAACAGTCCCCATTGGGGTACATTATGATATGTTTTTAATGATGGGAGTATCTAATATTAGAGGGGTGGGGGGGAGGAGATTAACAAACAAAAGGTGATGTAAGGTCTAGTGTCTGGGGGGGGGTTGGCTTCAAGGCTTTAGGGCCTGGGTTTCAGCGGTTCGCAATTAAAGCTAGACACCCACCCTGGACACGCAATTATGGCGATCGGATCTTGCACAAAGCCTGGATTGGTTTGTATAGCAAACATTGCAGGAGGGAGCTGGAAGGATCTCATCTAAGAGCTTGGGACAAGCTTCTTGGAGTGGAGCATCCGCAGGCCCCTACCCAACACATCTGTCACACATCCCCGTTCAAAAGCATACACCTGCCTGTACCCGTAGACCCTAGCCTAGTAGACCCTAAACCCTTCAAACCTAAACTCTTCACCCTGAACCCTGGTTTGGGCATGCTTGAAAAAGCAATTTCAGGCGCCTGAAAAAGTGCATAACGGGCCCGCCTAAAATAGCAATTACTTAGGCATGCCTTCTTACTCTGAGCAGATTCCCACATGATGGTTGATACGCAGATGGTCCCGCAATTGCTGTATTTCAGCTCTAACGGGAAGCTACTTCTGCTGCTTCGGAGGTCTAAGGGCAGCGGAATACTATTACGGCACCTTATATCTAGGGCTTCCTAAATCCTGAAACCTGACCCTAAGCCGCATACCTTACTCATAGGCAGCGTGCCCGAGAGCGCCGCGGCCGCAGCGGAGGCGCTTGGCCCTCAGGGAGCTTTGCCTTGCTGTGTGAACTCGATTTGAACTATAGTCTAAACTCCTTAAAGGGAGGATATATAGGGGACTATATAGGGGACTACTATAAGGGTTACTAAGGGGGATACTAGGAGTTTAGACAATGGCTCATTTGGGTTTAGAGTTTGAGGTTTCTATCCAAGAGAACCCCACCCGCTTCAGCCAAAATTCCAAGAACAACAGATGTATGGTTTTCAGGTGGTTTTTGATCCCAATCAGCGAATGTCCAACCAGCGACCCTGCTTCACTGAGTGTAGCAGTCAAGTTGAGGCTTGGTGTTTGAGGTTAACAGTCAACTTGCCTTTAAAAACGATGTAGGGCTTAGTATTTACGGTTCAGGGTTTAGGGACTTCTTGGGCAGGCGGTCATCACTGGCCCAGCCCTGAACTGCGAACGCCATATCAGCCATAGCGTAAACTCTTTACAGGGGGTTCTGTAGGGCATTATATAGGGAAGGATTATGGTGCGTTATGCATGGGGACATTAGGAGTTTAGACTATGGCTCATACGACGCCAGAGCATCCAAGTGCCCAGATAGTTAGATATTGGGGGTTTGGCAACAGGTTTTATTGTAGCGTAAGTCTCGGGCAAGTACATGATTATTGAGGCTTGGACCTGTAGGGACAGCGAGCTGCAACCCAACAAGTGAAAATAAAAAAGGAACTGACGTGATTTGGCTTCTGGTTCCGAACAACCAACATCCATGGCACAGAGCACCCCATTAAGGGAGCAAGATCACTACAGCTACAACTGTTGAGTGGTTTTCAGAAGCTGCGGGTCGTCTCCGACCTGAAGCATCAAACTCCGCCGTTGGTTCGTCCAAGGCCTCGTGCAAACAAGAAGAGAAAGCGAGAGGCTGTGGAGGCCCGAGTTTCTTCCTATGGTGACAATAAGAACACGGAGATTGCTTGGTAAACGAGAGTAACTAGCGATTTCCATGAAATTTCGTCTTGCGCTGGGAGTAGTTGTAGCCAGTACCCTTTGCTTTGCAGTTGCTCCCATGCTTGGATGTACGATGCACATGTCAAAACACCCAGGGCTGAGCTTTATCCTAAACCCTTAATCTCCAAACCCTAAACATGAAACCCTAATCTATTGCACCGTGTTCTGAGGACATTTCCGTAGCCTCGTGCAGCGAAGAAAAGGTGCTGTGAAACAAAACCACTCTACCCAGGGGCTCCCATGTAGTTCCTTTTTGGGTTTGTTATGGTGTTTTGGTAAGGGATTACAATATACTACCAAAAAGAAACTACATAGGAGGGTCTGGGTAGTATAGCCTGAACCGCAAAAGTCTCGGACCCCGGGGTTTCGCCAGAATTCCACAATGAGTCTGCTTCGGTCTGCTCGTTTGGTTTGTGTAATTTTGCGCTTAAGTTGTAGTCTCCTCAGGAATTCCTTTTTCATTTGTTTAACTATCGTATAACCCCGAGGAATCATCAAAATCAAGCTGCTATGCTTATTATAGGTCACTACAGAAAGTTCTCGGATGCATCACTCGCCTTAGCGCGCTACAAAGTCCAGGGCCGCATCTCCAAGGCAGGTCTAATAAAGTTGGGATACTTGGCGTACTGGTCTCCATTATTCTTACTGGTTCTCGGTAGGGAATACGAGAATATCATCACCATATTATTCCCACCCCCATGTAGCATATTCCCACATCTTCCCTACTAAGAACCATCAAGTATGTCTTTGTTTTGATCGGTCTTGCGCGACATTCATACCTAGCAGCCAACACCTGTTCAGCTTCTCAACCCTATATAGACCCTAAACTTATAAACATCCATAATAGAAAAGCTGTTTCAACCCTAAACCCGGGCTTAGACTCTTTGGAGCGATCATGAATATATATGGGCGTGCCTGGAACGGTAGAATCCTGGATTGGGACAATCCAACTCGAGCCCAGAACATGTGGACTGATGCTTAAAAAGCACCACATTATTACTCATGCAGATATATGGTAGTTTCCCCAAAATGGGGGGGTCCCCTGTGAAGATCCCAGGATGTTGCAATCCTTATAGAGATCTCATGCAGATATGCTATGGTAGTTTCCCCAAAAAGGGGGACCCAATGAAGACCCAAAAATATTATTATCCTTAAAAAGACCTCATGCAGATAGAGGATAGTTTCCCAAAATCACTGAAGACCCTAGAATATTCAAATCCTCATTATACAGACCCCAGAAAGGTACCCTAAACCCTTAAACTCTAAACCTTACTCTCGGAAACCTCCCCATATCTGCTATGAAGAGCACAACAAGCATCCCAGATCGTAGGCCCCCCCAGGCCCTCAACGGGCCTAAGCCTTGGAACTGCTCCAAACCCTCAACCCTTAACCCTTCAATCCCCATAGAAACCTACGACTACGTAGGGTTCTCAAATTTCCTTACTTTCAAAAGTTCAACCTGTTAACCTCAAAAATCCACCCCCCCCCTCCCCAACCTTAAGTAACGGTAATAAACCTATAGCAAGCCCCAACCACCTTGTAATTGCTGTAACATGATATCCCTACTAGGGGCCTCATATATGATTGTTATAGGGTGGGGGCAGTAGCCAACCCAAACCCAGACCATCAGCAGGAGGCCGCGCCAGCTGAAGAGGTGGCAGTCTCAAGCTGTGTTGTTTTTTTCAGCACAAGTTCGTGGGACTTTCACTTAAAAAGGGGCCATAGGACCTTACAGATCTACACAGGCTGCAAAAGAGCACGGCTCCTCTCACCGCCTACCCCCGACGGGTACGTTGGGCGTTCGTTCGTGTCAGTTGTTTTTTTCCGCTGAGGTAATTCAAATGTTTCCTCCATGTGGTGTGGGCGGTTGCCTTCCTTTAATCAATTATTAGAACTTTTCTTGAAATCGTTCAGATTGTTTCCCTTCCGCCTGTGGTGTGGGCGGCTGTCCTCCTCCAAGAGCTATCATTATTGTTTGTTGCTGAAGTCACTAGGATCTCCTCGCCCCATCCCTCCTGTGGACTTCCTCTTCATACAACTGCCAGCATTGTTGCAATCGCCTGTTGCCTTGCAAATCCTTGCCCCTGCCTCCCACAACTGTCGGCATTCTTGTGCTTGATGTTTACCTTGCAAAATCAAGACCTGCATATTGCTGAGATTAACCGACCTCAAGCACCTGAACTCACATGGACCGACAAATGTGAACATCACAACGCTGGAAGGCCCTCAAAACAAGTGAAGTAAAGTGCAGGAGGAGTCTGCCGCGGTGGAGGCAGCGTGGGCCGCCGGCACCGAGGTGGATCTTGTGGTTTATAGTCCCCCTTAAGTAGTTAGAATGGGATCATGGGGATCTTATTATAATATAATATGCAAAGCCATATTCTGTCTACTTAAAAGGGCGACTATAGGTTCTGAGGATCAGAGACCATGTTAAAGGGCGTTCCTCTAACGATAGCTTGTTTGAGAGAACACGTCCCGTAATTGGAGTTGCGTACAGGGTGACCCATTTTTGCGAACCGTCGAACATGGAGGCTCAAAGATCTGGATAAGTTCTGGATACATTGATACTTGTTATTGGCTAGATGCAATCAGGGCTACAAACGGCATCGTTTCTGAGCGTGCCGAGTCTTGGATCCAGATCCCACCCCTCAGAACGCACAGGCTGTCTACCTGTTGTAAACTGACACGCCGTGGTTGCCTTGGAAGTGAGCATGGGAGAAGTATTATCCCCTAAACCCTAAAAACCCTAAACCCTACACCCCTAAACCCTAAATCCCTAAACCCTAAACCCCTAAACGATAAGCCCCTAACCCTAAATCCTAAGCCACCCTAAATCCCTTGGGCATCCACTCGAGCATCCTGTGTTCCAAGGGCGGGTTCGGCGAGAGATGGCTACGCGAAAGGGTTTAGGGGTTAGGGTTTAGGGTTTGGGGTTTAGGGCTCTTTGGGACTTAGCTTGGACCTTAGACCCTTAACCCTTTGGGATTCCCTTATATTCCTATTATAGGTAATTAAGGGTTAACCCTTAGTAGGGGTCCTAAAGTGCCAAGTAGTTTACAGTAGCCTATCCTAAAGCCCGTAAGGCCTCTTCTGGGTTATAAGAGCCAGTAGAACCTACTGTAAATTCTGCTGTAGTTGGTTCCCATGATCGCGGCGACCGATCTGCTCGTATGGCCTAGGACCTAGGAAATACTGTCCTTGGGAGATGGGCCCCGGCCACAAACTTTTTTTGGTAGAGCTGACACTTGCGCACTGCACCTGCTGCGCAACTTCAACGGATTCACTTTTTCACGCTCGCCTCTGCGGATTCTTCTTGGCCTAGTGGTGCTGAAGGGGGAGCGGGGGAGTGAATATAGGTATTATTCAATTATAATTTACCATAATATAGAGATATTTAGGTTTTATATGAGCTATAGTCTAAACTCCTAGGCTCCCCCTTAATAAGCCTTATAGTGGTCCCCTATATAGTCCCTTATATATCGCCCCGTAAGGAGTTTAGACTCTTAGCTCATATAGGCATTATTATAGGTCTTCATATCCCCCACTGTATCTAAAGCACCAGTAAGGTGGGAGATGCCGAACAGGTTTAGAAGTTCAAGTTTGAATTATGTGGGGACCCGTTTTGTAGGAGTCCTTACGATAAGGCAGTTTAGGGTTTAGGGTATTGTTCTGGAATCTATATTGAGGCCTCTCAATTTATGGAAAAGACGAGGAGTTGTCTTGAAAGCTTGCGGCGCATAGTGTGCATGAGAGCTACATAAAGCTGCCCATGTCCAGAAGCCACATTCAAGACCTCTGAATTGAAGTTGCGGTTCGGATCTTTCCATGTCGCTACCGTCTGAGCCAGGGAGTTCAACAACCTGCCATGTCAGGTAGGTTTTTGTAAAGCATGCTTTGTGTGAGCGGTTAGTAAGCATGTTGCAAGATGTTGCTGAGAGTACGGGGTGTCCTTTCGCGGACCATACATTAGATCCTCCTTTACTTTTCAGCTTCTTGACAAACATAACAGAAGCGTCAACACGACTGAGCACGTTGGCGGTGTCCACTTGCGCAGTGGCCCCCCAAAGTATTGTCAACAGTTACGCAACCCGTTTCCCCGTTCTACTTTCTAACCTTTTCGGTCAGCCGATAGGACGCCTCAAACAGCTCCCTCCGAACAGAAACGGCGCCTACCCAACAGCATCATCTAGCCACGGGCCTCGAAGCTGACGGTAGGCTCATCAAGTACGACCTTGTTCGGCAATTTAGGTTTTTTCCTTGTATACATATACCTTGGAGTAAGCAGAATACTTGCATCCGAGAATACATCCTCTTTACACTTGCAGTTGCCGTAAATGCTATGCTCTCCCGACACTCTGAGATCCAAATTCCGGGGTCTACTTTAAACTCAATATGAGCTATAGTCTAATTGCCTTCAAGGCAGTTATATAGGGAGGTCGTATGAGGCTTCTTAAGGGGGATACTAGGAGTTTAGACTATAGCTCACATAGTCTGCGCTTCCTATGCAGAGCAGGGGGGGCTTAAGATGAAATGCCAGCAGTCTTGGGGGTTTAGGGTGTATGGTTCTGACTGTGGAGGCCTCCGAAGCAGCTGAGGGCTCCAACAAAAAGCTCCTTGGCAGAATGCAGCGCATGACAAAAACCACTTGTGAGCACTCCCTTGGCGATCTTTAGGGTTTAGAGGTATGACCTCCATAGCAATGCAACTCTTGAACCGCCACCAATTTAGTCTGAACATTGAGCCATGGACAAACAACTTGCCAAGCGGCTAATTTGTACTACAGTCAGACTGACAGTCTTTGTTCTTTGCCAGCAGCTGTACTGCGTGTTTTTTTTAGCAGGCGTGAAGCCTGAATCATAAACCGCAGAGGCCTTGAACTGCAAGATGGGTCCTTGGCCCTTGTACATTCTCATCACGACGCATATGAAGTAGGATTCGTATTTGGTTGTTGGTGGGTATGTGTAGAGTTCCCGAGGAACACTGGTGAGTGTAGATATATGGTGTCCAACTTGGGGGACCACATATGAAACTAAGACATGGGTCATTTCAGCGTTTGGTTGAAGCCCTCACGAGGCCCCAATCTCCATATGTGGGACTTCCGTACCATTGGAGGGTCTTATACTGGAAGTTCAAGGTAACAGTAGACCAGTTATTAATGTACTTTTTAATAAGCCAACATGAACTCCTGCAGTCCCCAAATGCGAGTGTAATCGGGTGATGAGCACTCTTATATGCGTTTCAATTGCCCTGTAGGGTTTGGGGTTTACGGTTGTACTGGGGGTGTATAGGGATAATGGAGAAGCAAAAGGAACGTCGCTGATGTCGGCAGCTATTGTACCAACCACTGTTTGGAAGCGTGGAGAACTTGATCTTGAATTAGCTTGGAAGGCAGCAAAAACACGTGTAGCATATTCAGCGACCTACATACAGCTGCATATCATGTTTCCTGGTAGGTACCATCATTCCTGTTCCGTCAGGGTTGCTGTTTCTGACCCCTGCCCAAGAAAGCCTGAGACCTGAACGCCTAAACACAATCTTACTTCGAAGAAAGTGGGCAGAATGATCGAAAGGTCTAAGAAACAGAAGAAGGACCGGGATTTGGACAATTCGCGTCGCACAAGCCCTAGGCATCCATGTGTGCAAAAAATATCTACATTGGGGCCCAAAGTCTGTAAATGCCTGCATCGGGCTATTTAGGTCCCTAGGGAAAGCACCGGAATCGTCTGCTGAAAGGCTATCGAGTGTAAAGGGTGACAATGTGGGGGGGGATCTATCAAAGTGCACGCTGGAGTTTGGAACGAAACGTAGGACCCATGCAGGATATGCCTCGAGAATTTTCCCACGTCATTGAAGCAAAGGCTGTGAAGATGTTGCGCAGGTTTTGTTGAGGAACAGGCGCATACCATGCACACCCTAGCGCTTTTTTGTGAAGGACACTTCGGGATAGGAACGGAAGTAGGTGTCGTCAACCTTCATCGGCGTCGTATCTAGTTTCGAATACTCTTGGGCGCGTTACTTGGTAAACTACAGCTTTTTATGCGATCACATGCCCAGCATGTTTGACCTCTAGCATACGAAGCCTCATGGGCATTGGAGCTTCAAAAAGTTTCAGTCTAAACCCTAAACCCTAGACCCTTAACCTTAAAGGCTAAACTCTAAATCCGAAATCCTAGGGCTTTGTCAGGGCCTCCGATGTAGTTCGGCACCGCCCTTGTGCAGGAGCTAGGGCCAGCCTCCAAGGCAAGTTGTTCCTGTTGGCGCAGGGTGTAGGGTTTAGGGGATTAAGGGGTTTGGGATTTAGGGTTTAGGGGCTTGCGGTTTAGGTTAAGGGGGTTTTAGGGTTTGAGGGTTGAGGGTTTTTTTCCGTGAGAGAGAGGGACATAAGAGAACCAACATAGGAGCCTTTGGGTCGATACCGGCCCTAACTCCTGAACCAATTATCTGAAACCTGTTCATTCCTCTGGGCATTCCCAATGTTGATTTCATAGCCAGTCTCAAAGCCACAGCGTGCTGCGCCAATCGACAGGAGTTGAAAACACTCCCCCAACATATCCACACATGATAAGAGAATAGTCTCAATACTGGTATAGTGATGAACGGTTGTAAGCTTAACTCAAATAATAGTTCACAATCAACAAAGATACCCAGTTGCCTTCAGCTCTGGGCTTAAACCACATCCGACCTAATCACCAGACATTCCTGACGTTGTAAGCGGAAGTCGGGGAGTCAGAAAACCTTGCCAGGAGGAGAAATCGCAGGAGAAGAAGGACAAGGGTACTCCATTTAAGCGGGTGGAGGACGATCCTCATCTGAGCGCTTGTTTGGTTCGTTTTTCAAAAGGGTACACCTTACAGCAAAAGCAGTTGGCAGTTCTTATCCGTTAGTGTTGCTGCTTGGATTTGTCAATGTTTGGAGGCCAGGATGTTTGGCTTCTTGACGACAAATGTACAGGATAAGCTTGTGCGACTATACACTCCCAAACCTCACAGTGATAATTTGGGTTGATGTAGTGCTGGTGTAAGTGACAAGTACAGCTGCAGTTCAGAACGTTCTCGTAAAATATTTCCAACATTTTGACAGTAGACGACAAAGGACGCTGTGGTTACCAATGGGTTAAGTAGCCCATTCATAAAGCCTTACAATGGGCAGCAGAGCAGGGTGCCTGAAGTGTAGCATCAGGAAGCAACTCCCTTCCGGTTCCCCAGATACAAGAGGATAAGGGTTCAAGGGGCTGAGCAGGGGGAATTTGGGTTAAGGGCCAATGTAAGCTGATTTTGTTGTGCAGATAGGATTTCATACGGCACTCACATGCGGTGTCTATAGTTGAGACGGCAACCTTAAGTTTGTATCAGACACCGTATGTGGAGCCAAGGCAGTCTTGCGCAAAAAGTGATGTGTAGTGAAGGGCTTGCCTGAATGAACACTGCAAGACACGCAACATTAGGTAAAGGATGGAGGCTTCAAGCGCATGGCCCACTGCAGCGCGGAGGGGCTTCCAGAAGTAATCTGCGTTCTCCCGGGATGGTACTCAACATGTCTTTGTTACGTCTTGTTTGGTTCTAGAAATTCACAGCTACGTGTAGCCAGCACCGACCCAGTAATCGTTTTCCCGTACAAGCGAGTTTTTGCATGTTTTTGCTGTAGCGGGCGGGCGATGTATGATAGCATATGGCTGTTCTCAAAGCTGATAACCCAAATGTCCAAGATATCTACATAGCCCAAAGTATGGTTTGTGTAGGAGGAATTCCTCTCGTGGTTTGGCTAGTTCCCCAAACTCAATCCCTGAATCCTGAACCGTTCTTTATGATATGTGTACATGTTTATACATCTCTCTCTCTCTCTCTCTCCGCTTAGAGCCCCTTTTATCATCTCTATTTAGCTCCTACATACTCCGTATCTTGTACTGAGGACCCTCTGGGATAATCTAGGTCCTTCGCAGAGCTACTAAGGACAAGTGGAGAGCCACCATCAAAGATGACAGGCATGTCATGAGGGCTTGGGTTTTGGGTAGCTTGTCAGGAAGGATTGTGTTCCTTTTTGGGCCCCGAAGATACCACAGCCGCTATATGTTTACGGTATTCAAAAAGGGGACCAGGATTTTAGCAGCCCACTACATGGGGGTCAAAACATTCTACGGGATTTGATAATCAAGCTCATGAGACTAGCAGGATCTTGGGAACCCTAAACCCAGAACCTAAATATGTGACGCTGGCATTGTCATGTCATAGCCATAGGACCCTCATTTTGGGGGTGGTGTTACCTAAACCCTCACCGTGCCCCCTAAACCCTAAACCACACAATATTTATCCCGGCTAGAATTATCAGGCTGAGGGGATCTTCATTGCAAGGCTCTACACTAACGCCTTCCCAGTCTCGAAGGTTTACGGTTCAGCTTTCAGGGTTTAGGGTTCAGGTTTCACGGTTCAGGGTTGAGGGTTTAGAGGTTTTCATCCGCCAACTAATTAATTATCAGTAGGCGTAATTGATGGATATGTGGATCCCATCTACATGTGCAACTCTTTTGCAGGGTAGGCATTCGAAGTCCTAAACCCTATTCGAGGGCACAAGTCGCACTGGGGCGATCATCTATTATCAGGGCTGGAGCTTCCCAACACCAAGGCCTTCATACGGGGGTTTTCAAAAATTCGGTGGTCTCTTTCTGGTGGTGAAGGGCAAAAGGATTTATACTATCTTTACCAGAGGGCTCCAATGTAGTTTCTTTTCGTTTCGTTGTGTTTTCTGCCAAGGAATTACAATATACTACCCAAAAGAGGAAACACCTGGGAGTCTCTGGGTAGGTGTACATGACGGGACCCCTAGTTTTTGGGAATTGCCATGACGTGCTTGAGAAGATGCTTTTTGGATTGCGCTCGCCTACTTGGCCTCCGCTAGGGCTTATAGGGCTTAGAGGTAGCGGCCAGCACATTTTCAAAAGATTGCATCTACAGCCCTTTTCATGGAGACACCCCAAAACCTTGTGTAGATCCCGCCTATCTACAGAGCTTCTGACGGCCACTGTTTTGAGAACTCCCCATCTCATTTCCATGCCCGGACCCTATCTCGAAGCACTGTCCAGTGACTATCGGAGAAACAAACGTGTCATCCCTTTTTTTGGAAATTCGGGAGTTCTTGTCTGATAAGGTTGTCAGTCAGCAAAGATTTGGCAAGGAGTGATAACTCACGGGAATTTCCACATCCTACTGATGCTAAAGGGAGAGTGGGGGATTGGATCCCTATCATAATCCCTATATGTTCCCGTATATGCCCCTATAATTGTCCTAAGATTCACTCCTCACTCCCCTTTAAGCACCAGGAGGACATGGGAATGCCGAATACCGCGCCCGCATTCCCTGTGGAATGATGGGTAGGTGTTTAGGGCTCAGGGGTTTGTAGGGTTGTGCTTGGCGAACCTATATGCTAGCTGGCGGTAGCAAGCTCTTACTTCCTGTTATGTATGCAACTCTGTTGTCCTATTGTAGCACCACTCTGTACTTTAGGTGGTTACTTTTTGTAAGCCCTGCAAAAATATGAAAGGATAGCGACAAGGTAGTTCAGAAATAGAGAATGCAGCAATGGTTAGTCTTTTCGTAAGCCCACGCGATCCCTCACGACGACCCCCCCCACAACAACTGCCGACAATACAATCCCTACATAACCCTCGGGTCCCGGCCCTAGTGCTGCCCATGTTGAGAAGCTCTGATGACGCACAGGTTGTTGGACAACACTCACAAGTCGAAGATGAAGCGCCTTGGCCTAGCCAGCTATGCAAAAGTGGAGCTTCTCCCTTTCTTTGCACAATAGGGGATAGAACCCCACAGAGGGGACCCTTTGTTTAGGAAGCCCTAAGGTCTACACCCTAAACCCTAAACCCCCTAAACCCCGCATCCTAAAGACCAAGAAGCTTTGGAGGCGTTGGTGCGCGGCCAAAGCTCAGGTCGCATGTTGCGGTGCGCTGTGCACGGGGATGCCCAACCTAGAAAGGACTCTGGTGCTTAAGCGGAATGGTGGGGTCAAAATACGTACCATATTCGGGTTATTAAGGGTGATGACATAAGGACTGATTCTCTATTCTTGGGATTTGCTCTCCCACTCACTTGGAGCACCAGAATTTAGAAATGCGCACAGCACCAGCATCCACTCACTAACAAGGCCTGGCTGAGGGACACAACACCACTCAGTGATCCATACCCGCAATTGATGTTTAGGTGCTTCAGCTCCTACGCGCATTTGAGAAGACCCTTATCACCTATCTAGCAGGCCATCTTCCAAAGCTCTACTCACCACCCATCATTGCGAATCCGAAAACACTACTTTGTGGGGCCCTCGGACTAATGTATGGTTACGGAACTTACCAAAAAAGTTACTATAGGTATAGTGGGCTTATGAGGAGGTGAGATAAACCAACATCATGAAAAGGATCCTTAACCCTAAACCTGTCTAAAAGGTCACAGGCACATACAAAAACCTGGTGCTTTGAGGTTGCTGAACTGGTTTTCGCCTGCGTTTCGGGCAGATTCCAAGTTTTAGGGGAAGGCCTGGTTACCAACGGGGGACTTAGGAAAGGAACTCTTATGTTCAGGAATGTGTATATTACTGTGGTTTCGGTGCTATTTTAATGACAAAAAGAAGGGCAACATGGAAAAACATAGGACTTGAAGATATCAGCTGATGGATGCCAAGGCCTTCCCCGAAGTCCTGCTCCATAGGATAAATGCTCTGGTCACCGTAAACTCTTGGAACGCGAACGGAATTATGGCTTTGGCATGGATGCTCTGGTCACCATGTGCTCTCGGAACACGAGCAGAAATATGGTTTGGGCATGGATGCTCTGGTCACCGTATGCTCTTGGAACACGAGCTGAAATCTGGTTTGGGCGTGGATGCTCTGGTCACCGTATGCTCGCGGAACACAAACGGAATTATGATTTGGGCACGGAAGCTCTGGTCACCGTATGCTCTTGGAACACGAACGGAATTATGGTTTGGGCATGGATGCTCTGGTCACCGTATGCTCTTGGAACACGAGCGGAATTATGGTTTGGGCATCGATGCACTGGTCACCGTATGTGCTTGAACACGAACGGAAGGCATGGATGTTCTGGTCACCGTATGCTCTTGGAACACGAACGGAATTATTGTTTGGTCATGCATGCCCTGGTCACTGTATGCTCTTGGATCACGAACTCTAGTATGGCTTGGGTATGCATGCGCCTGTGATCGTATGCACGACATTATGGTTTGAACATTCCCCAATCCTATAGGTACACATGCCCAGCATTTTTCACTGGCATCCACAATGGCTGCCTGGAACATTCCGCAAATGACTTCCAAACCCTCAAATCCCCTATTAAGCTCTGAAACACCCAGGTTTTTTTATCAACCTGTTTCCATCTAAAGGGGTCTTGTGCGTGTTCATGTTCAGGATTATATACATCTACATATTTCCTGACTCCAGACTCCTGCTTACCTCTAAGTAGGCTCTAGAGGGCCAAGCTGCTATGCACTACGAAAATGAAATGGAAACTGGGTTTATGGAGGTCACCCGCCACATAGGACCCATTACAAGTCATGTCAGAGATATCGGGTCTTAGTCTTTGGGGTTGGGGTTGCAAGAGTCCTCTTATTATCCACACAGACAGCGCTAATTTTTCAGACCTTGTAAATTCGTCTCGAAGACGCTCTGCGAGTTTACACATGACCTAAGGCCATTACATCTAACACATCATGGGAATGTACCCTACACCCTAAACTCCCCTCCTCCTGATGGACCCCCATGCCCTAATTCGGGGCCTGGGCTGCTTTTAGGGACGGGTGCGAGTCCTGTCCTGTTTACTCATAAACCCTAAGCCCCAGGCTTGTCAGCATCAGGCGGGGGCGAAACCTAAATTCATGTGAGCTATAGTCTAAACTCCTTAAAGGGGATTATATTAGGGGTATGTCATACGGGGTATGAAGGCGGATACTAGGAGTTTAGACTCATGTGGAGTTTCTCAAAATATCATACCCACAAAACCTTCATGCACTTGCAGTTTAGGGTTTAAGGTTGCATTCCCATCTAACCCCCATGTATCCCTGGATTTTTCCAGCGCCCTGCTTTCGGAGAAATCCCTGCATTGTGCTGCCAAGCCTTTTCCTCAGGTATCTACGGAAATTGCAGGACAGGCCTTACGATGACCCCTATGTAGCTTGTTTTTTTTTGCTGTTTGGTCTTTTCTGTGTTGGGCCCCTTAAAGACGAGCCAGGAAGACCAGTAAGTGAGTGAATTCCCGTCCGCCGCCCAAACAGCAAACAAAAAAACACGCCGTGCGCACAAACGGCAAAAAATAAACACGCCCCCCGCCCAAACAGCAAAAAAAATGAGCACGCCCCCGCCCACACAGCAAAAACAAAAACATTCCACCCGCCCAAACATCTCACAAAAAACGACGCCCCCCCCCCCCTGGCCCAAAGAGCAAAAAAAACACGCCCACCCTGCTCAAACAGCAACAAAAAAACACGCCCTCCCACCCAAACAGCAAAAAAGACAAGCTCCCGACCCAAACAACGCTGTTTGGGCGGGAGGGTGCTTTTTGCTGAAAATCAAGTTCTGCTGTGGAGAGATGGGGGAACGGGCGTGTTTATTGTTTTGCTGTTTGGGCGGGGGCGTGTTTTTTCCTCTGTTTGGGCGAGGCCCCCGCCCCTGCCCACACAGCAAAAAAACATGCCCTCCGACCAAACAGCAAAAAACAAGCACCTGAAACGTCCAAACAACGAAAAAGACCAGACAACAAGAAAATAAACACTCTTACCATGTGTAACTCCTCAGGGTCCCACATACCCCTCGTATATTCTTTAGACGAACTCCTTTCATTGGAAACTCCCCTCCTGTAGTAGTTGGTGCATAAACCCTAAACCCCACCTGTAGTGGGTCCCAAAGCCTTAAACCCTCAATTCCTCCAGTAGTTGGTCGCTAAACCCTAAACTCCTCCTGTAGTTGGTCCTGAAGGTACGGCACCTCTGAGGGTGACTCTTGGGCAGACAAAGCTTCGGAAGATCTGCTGAAGGCACGAAGCTTAGCAGCTCTAAACTACGTACAAGTTTAGGGTCAAGGGCTGCGAAATCAAGATTAGGAGTTTGGTGTTCGGGATTCAAGATTTGGTTTCAGGGTTTACGGCGCAGGTGTTTTAGGACCTGAGGAAGGTCAGGTTTCAGGTTTGGAGTATGTGGAGTTGCGTTGAATCCCGCCACGGGCAAGTTTTCCGCACCAAGCAGCGCAACATTAGCCCGCTTGACTCGGTGCTTGCAGCCGGACAAGAAGAAGTAGTACGGTAGTAGCAGCAGCAGTAGCAGCAGTAATAGTAGGAGTGGTTGTGGTAGTAGTCGTGGCCGTGGTAGTAGACGCGGAAGAAGATATGGACGCAGCACTAGCAATTCAAGGGTGTGGTTGCGGCGGCATGCACGCTCTCAGAGCAAACTAAGACAGAAGTCCACATGGGCTCTACAAGGACTACCGCCCTGTAAGAGGGCCCTCAAGGGGTCTCCTTGTTCTTTTTGGGACGGCACCCTGTGACAGTCCTTGCTCTTGAAAAGTATTGTATGTAAGCCGACGTTTCCGCTGACTGTTGCTGCTGCCTTCTTGAGGCTGTCCTTTGGCCAGATCCAACCAGTCACGATTACTTCTAGCGCACTCAGCACGACAGGACAAGTGAGGAAAGGGATTGGCATCGAGAGGTTCAGAGGTTCTGCCCGTGGCAATATACGCGAATATGCGTTTGGATGTGGAGGTGCCATGGCATGGTTGGGGCTGTCCCGCAACTTCTCGAAACATTGCATTGTGAAGCAAGACGCTGCAACGCAGCTCACGCCTGGACACTCAGTATAGTTCCTTTTGGGGGTTTAGGGTTCACGGAGGAGTGGATTTACGACAGTCACAATTTGAAGCTTCGGCAGCTTCATCATGATGTCCTAGAGGTTTTCACGAAGGTGGTGTCTTGTCAGATAATATCTAGTGAAGTCGGGGTCAAGCTTCTGGGGTTGCTTGAAAAGCAGCTTCGGTGGTGCTCAGTGCTCCTGCTACCGGGCGGACTCAGAAAGTCTGTTGGAAAAGGGTTTAGGGACTCAGTATAGTTCCTTTTGGGGGTTTGATTTGTTGTTGCGATAGGATCCTTTACAGGAGCCCTAGCAAGATACCACATTGACAGGTCTGATTAAAGGCGCTCTGAAGTTAGGTAGTATGCAATATCCCCTCAATGAGCCGACCATGCCCCTATTGCAACCCTCTAGAAGTAGGTAGGGCTCCCAGCCCATTACGAACACAAGGTGCCCGTCACAAAGTTACCGTAAACCCTGAAACCGAAACTAGCATGCCGAGGGTGCCACGAAGCAAGCCTAAACTGGCAATTCCAAGGTACCACAAAGAAACCCTAAGGGTCCAAGGACCCGAAGAACAGGGTTTTAGGGCCCAAGTACTATCAGATTAATGGTTTTGGGGGCTAAAGCCCTATTATTTGGGTCCTTGGACCCTTTAGGAAAAAAACCCTAAGCTGGTAATCTCGGGGTCCCAGAAAGGATCCGAAAAGGAGGTACAGCCTAAGCCCAACATCATGCGTCAGGTCAAAGGCAAAGGCCTCTCGCTGGCACTGTGGCAAGATAGTTTGCTCTTTCTTTTCTGGGAGTTTCAGAATTCACGAGGTTGCTGTCAAGAAGTCTTAATTTAGTTACCATAATGGTTATATATAGTAATTAATATGGTTCCCCAATAGAGTAACTTAATCAAGTTCCTTAACAGCAACCCAGTTTACGGTTCTCAGGGACCTAGCCAGTACGTCTAAACGAGCCAGCAGTTCCTCCGCTGGGGCTGGTCTGCTTACAGCCCCTTTTGCAAGCTAAGTACTCAGTCCCCTAATTACTGGGTTCTTGTTGAACAACATTTTACATGTTTATGTATACCTGGGCCCAATATAGATTGAACGTGATGATTTTTAATAGTAGTTCAACAAGAACACAGAATGCAGCCAAACCCTAAACTTGAGAGGACAGTTCTCAAAGTCTCAGACCCTATCTCCTGACAATGTGTGTGCAAGCTAGAGGAACTCAAGCTGGTGTTTAGGATCGTTTACAGAATGCATGAGTGGTCGCTCCCTATTGGGTGCCCTACATATAAGGTGCCACATTATTTTAGGGATGCCCTTGAGCACAGAACTGTCACAGAACTCTAAACGCAACAAACCCACATGCACCAGCATATCAAGAGACCCTATGGGACCTTCGGGAGCCTTCCGCAGGTCTTAGGGACTCCTTATTGTGGTACCCCCCTTTATGGGGCCGCCTTCCTCCAAGCGAGGGACCACGAGTTGGACCACATATCACACGGCAGCGTCAGGTGAGCTAGGACAGAGATCCTTTAAGACTTGCCCTTGCCGGCACTTTGTGGGACCCTGACGTTACTATGCATTAGTGAACCTACCTATGATAAAGGGCTGCAATGGTGCCATATGGACCTATTGAGTGGCTATGGTCCATCAGCAGTTGCGTTGGCTACACTCTTGCGGGCTGCTTCTTAGGGTCTCCTCATTATAGTAATTTGTGTGTAAGTTCCTGAACAGCCACCCAGACCCTAAACCCTAGTCCACGACCTAAAGTGACCTTACCTGAAATGGTAGCATATTCAAGCGTAGCCTTGCTTAAGGTTGCTGAATTTCCGTAGAAGCCTGAGAAATTGCCCATGTTATGTCCTTTGGGTCCTCTTTTTACTTAATTACAGAGAATCGACCCCCAACCCAGAATTTAGGCACATTTAGGCTTCTATATTACCCAGACTCTCCAATGTAATTCCTTTCTGGGTAGTATATTGTAATCCCTGACAAAAAACCGTAATGAATTTAAAAAACCATAATGAATTTTCAAATAAACTACATAGGAGCTCTTGGGTATTCATTCGCATTGAGCCGTGGGTTGGCTATGCTGCGATCCAGATCGCAATCAGCTAGGTCAGCCCGCAGCTTTTCATATCATGGCTTCTGTTTGGGAATCTCATTCCTTACTGCCAGGTGTTCAGGGTTTAGGATGTAGGGTTTAGGATTTCTTCATGAGGCGGCTTTGGTTACCCCATTAACGATAACGAGACCGTGTGAATGCCAGATGACTCTTATAGGGTCCTCATGAGGGTTGGGTCCCCAAGATCCTCATCTTGATTGGCTTACGAGCACTTCTCAATGCAAGTGTTTAGGGTTCAGCGGCTTCGGGTTCCCCCAAAGCCAAAGTTCAGGCTTCCGGAAAGAAATGGCCAAGAAGAAGAAAGCCTCTTGGCGAGGCCCATGCAAGCTAGACGGGCATGTCTGCCATTCTCTCCTTCAAATTAGCCCAGGGTCCCACAACCATAAACCCTAACCCACCAGATCCCTCTGCACGTGAGCCAGCAATGCAACACCCTCAACACGGATTTTCCACATCCACATCACCTCAGGGAGATAGGGCCTGGAGGGCAAATTGCGTGAGAAAAGTATTATTTCTGTTAGTGATGATTGCATGAGGCTATATGATATCACCTGGTGGCAAACGGAATTCTGCCTGCCTGGTGCTAGAAGAACAGACTTGTACTCCCCTCCCCCTAATATCAAAACCCCTCACCCTCCCCAAAACAAAGCTGCTCCCAATAAACAACGCGATCGGAATATCTAATACGAGGGGGGGGGGGGGTTGAGTAGGCAACCCACTTGTAAAGGGTGTAATGGGCATTTTACGGGGATAGATGATATTGCCTGCTCCGCGGTCCTTCAGAGTAGATGGATGTCGTAAGCATACTCTGCCGGGGTTGTAGGCCCCCTAGTTCGGACGTAAAGCGAATCTCTGGTTCCAAAAACCTGCTTTCAAGGTTGCCATTCAGGACGTAGGGCACACCTGCACGCATCTGGAAGTAGAAGCCCCAAAACCATGAACCGTCCTCGTGGCAAAGATTGCCATTTCAAGTTGCGCCCTTGAGCCCTCTGCACCTTACTCAGCAGCTGGCTAATGACAGTACTCTTCAGGGTTGAGGATTTAAACGTAGAGTTTGCGCTTTAGGGCTGAGGATTAAGAAGACCTTGTTGAAGCGCATCCCGGCACTTCCCAAGTTCGATGATGCATCCTCAAACAACCCATCAACCCTTCAACTTCCGAATTCCTGAATCCTTAACAGGAATCAGAATCTGGCTTCCTTAAACCTTGTGCAGCAATATTACCATGTGAGCCATGGTCTAAACTCCTTAAAAGGGGGATAAATGGGATATTCTATAGGGGACTACTATAGTGGTTATTAAGGGGGATACTAGGAGTTTAGACTATAGCTCATGTGAACTTAAGCCCTGCTGAGATTGAATTGGCCCTACATTGCTTCTTCTTATGTCCAATGACAAGTTGCGTTCTCTGACAGTCTTTTTACTGCCCCAGAGAATCTAAACCCTATACCTTCAAGGCTGTATGTAGCGTGTCGGTTGCAGGGCTGCACCAGAAGCCATTGATCCCCCTTCTGCTTCTAAACCCTACACCCCGACGCTGAGTTTATATTAATCTCCAAACCGTACTTATTTTGGGCCCTAAACCCTAAACCCTAAACCCCGAAGCCCTGACTAATTCGGGCTCTTGGGGTTTCCGGGGGTTGGGGTTTGTCTAGGCGGCGGATCCATCGACCAGGGCGTCAACTCCATTCCGCCACTTGTAAGCTATTCTTCAGGGGGCCTTTGGGGGTTTAGGGTTTAGGGGGTCCTATAGTGAGGATTACACAGCATATCAGGGTCGACATTGGAGCCCTCCTTATGGAAACCCCCATGTAGCTGTTGGATTGGGGGGGGAGGTGCAAATTAGGGGCTTCATGCACGTAATTTGAGTATGTGACATTTAGGGTGTGTCTTTCCATCAGAGATGAGACCTTGTATATTAAGGAAGCTCTTTTTACTTGGAGTGGTGGGGCGGGTTATTTCATACAAGTCTGGTCTGAAGGGATTGCCTGTTTGCACGACTCCGGACCCATGGTGCGCCCTTCTGAAGTCAGATGGGTCTCGGATGTATCCAGCTGCTGGCACTTGGAGAGGGGTGAGGGTTTTTGGGTTTATAGGGGGTGAGGGCCGAGACCCCCAGAATCATCATCATCATCATAATCACCATGACCACTGTGAGGGGAGTTCTCAAAATTAGGGTCTCATTGTGGTACCTGGAAATATTAGGTGCCGTAGTATAAGTTATGTTTAGCGATAGCAGCCAACGCCCAAGCTTGATACCTCTCCCATTCCTGATCGGGACCAAGCCTGTTTCCCATTGTCTTTGTGTTACGAAATGGATTCAATCCAGCATGCACTCATACAACCTCCCCTATATTTCCTCCCTGTATGTGCGAAGCCCCCGAAGGCTTAAGAATTATTGATTCCATTGAAGTAAGTAAGCTGCCTTGTATTGCGACACCCTGTCCAGGGATCCCAACGCCGAAGCTTCCATCTTGCATCTGGATAGGCACCGGGGGTACCTGGTTCCTCTTGACTCCAGCGCTGCCAATAACTTGAAACCCCAAACCTGAATACTTAGATTCATACTTTGCTTAGGGAAACTCAGGTTCTGCATTTCCTAGAGCAGCACTGTTGCAAGACCTCTTTGCATTCCTTCTTCTGGCCGTTCTTAGGTTTCAGGCTATGATAAGAACTAAACCCAAAACCGACCCAGAACCCACGATCAGTTTTGAGGTTGGACGACAGCGATGATGAGTGAGTCCGGCTAGTAGGTCATCTTATGATCACAGACCTAGCTAGGGAAAGCCCAGATCATAAAGCGGTTACATAGTTCACAGCAATGACAGTGTGGAGAATATCAGTGTTTCGTGTTAAGCCTTCGAAGTCATCAACAGCGGTCAAGGCCTAGGGATTACAGGGTCGATGGTGAAGGAATGCACGACAAGCAGGCAGAGAGAGAGCGAGAACGCGTTTGGATCACGCATCCTGAAGCTAATCCCATCTTCGAAATCATAATCACAACAACAAACCAACAAGCAAACAAACAAACAAACAAACAAACAAACAAACAAACAAACAAACAACAAAGCAAACAAAGAACAACACAAAAAAAAAGGTACTCGCGTCTTTCACCGCCGTGCAAGGTATGTAAAATTACTTTTAGGGATAGCCAGAGCATATGCGGCCTCAACTGTAGGAAA